TTCCCTCCCTCCCTCTACTTTCTCTCATTCCCTTCTTCCCTGCTTCTCTCTTCCTTTCTCAGCTTTCTAACCAGTAACGAGCATTCACATCATTTTCCCATCAGGTGCTCATATTCATAACATAATTCCCCCCCTCCTTCTCAATTCTGATTTAATGGATTCTGGATATTTCTCAGATTCTCCTTCACTTATTTTCCTTAGTATTGTAATAAACTTTGGAAGGAATAGAAGCAGGATAACTCCATTTTTCTGGCTTATTTACTCGCTGGAATTTCGCTTTTGCTGGAAGCTAATCAATAAAGTTTATGGTATAAGGTTAGAACCAAGCTTAGTCTAGTAGGTCATAAACATTATTATTATTATTGTTGTTATCATTATTATTATTCTTGCTTTAGTCTCTACTACTTCCATTTCTTAGTTTCCTCCAGCATTTTATTCCCCTTTAATGTTGGAGCTAGAAAGATAGGGCAGTATCTGGAGGATGGCGAGGCTGACAGTCCTGGGTTTAGCTTCTTCCATTCCCTCAAAGCCTCATCACTTTTTAAACAGTTCTGAATACTTCCTTTCTTTTTTTAAATTTTTATTGAATTTTGGGGTATTTATACATAAAATCATCTTTATGCTCCCTTCTCCTTTCCCCTTTGGCACCCTCACATACTCCCTCCATCTCCCCCACTGGAGTTCATACATTCTGTCATTTGTGTTAAGGCCTATTATGTAAAGTTATTGTCTCAAAATATGCCTCAGTGCAAGTTCATTCACTGGGGTTTAACCTATCTAGTCTCTCCCTTCAAGAAGATCAGCTCTTTTCACCCTGCAATAATCAGCTTCCAATAATTCTTCAACTAAGATTGGGACTTGCTGTTCATTTTCACAGTTCTTAGCTGTTTTTTACTTGTTTGTTTTGTTTTGTTATTTGCCTGAGTTTGCATGGGTCTTGTGCATGCTGACACAACTGTGGTAGGTTTCTATAAGGGTCCTAGGTACCTGAAAGATTATTTCCATGTGGTCAGGCACCTCCTCCCTGGCTCTTACAATCATTCCGACCAACTTCAGCAGTAGTCCTTGAGCCCTGGATGGATGGACCTCAATATAGAAGTCCTGTCCAAGGACCCACTCTTTACAGATTTTTATTCTCTGGGTTTGGCCATTTGAAACCTTTTGTATTCCTGGCCCTCTGTTGCATGAGGGAGCTTCATTGATGAGAACTGAAAGATGCATCTTCATCCCTTGTTCTATGTGCAATTACATTAGTTTAGGAATATGAGAGCCTTGGAGTTTTCTAAATAAATTTATGATCTCTCCAGCTATGTGTATTTGGCTAGGTTTATAGTACCAGACATGAATTTTCTCCCACTGAGTGGTCTTTAAGTCCAATTAAGTAGCTGTTGATTACCCTCAAGATAAAAGTGCCACTACTGAACCAATGCTGTTTGCTGTGCTGGTCATTGATGTGATTTTTAGGACTTGAACCTAGGGTTAATTCTCCCTTACCAGTTTGTGTAGTGCTTTCCAAACCTATGAGAGCTAGCCTTCAGGGGAGGTGGCTTCCAGGTCAGTTCCACTCTATTGTCAAATCCTGTGTCCAAAGTATGTCCTGTCTTCAGCAATAGGTTCTTTTTTTTTCTTCAAATTTTACAAAAACTTTATTGAGAATTTCATACACATATATATAAATATTTTTTATCAAATCCATGCCCACTCCCTCCCCTCCAACATTCCCCCCTCTGAAAAGGTAACCCTAAGATCTTTTAAGGATTAGATACAGGCTCCCAAATACTTTTGACATTTTTGTCCTTTGGAACAGAGTATGTTTGCTAAGAGGCCCAAGGACATTTTGACTTTTAGCCAAGAAACTGGCTACTTTTCTTTGGGGTCTTTTTTACCAACTGCTTAGCCAATTCCTACCTCCTATTCTTATCACACCATCTTCTGAAGAGGTTACACAGCTTGCTGACCACTCTGGCTTCTTCCATGCTGAACAGGGATGCAGGGTGAGGCAATTGGAGTATCCTTTCAGTGGGTCTATCTAAAAGACTCCCAAATTGCATAACTCTTGTCTCTAAAAGGAAAAGAAAGTCCTTGAATCATGACTAGGAGATGTGAAGGAGCAGTAAAGGCAAGAGTAATTAGCATTACAAGGTCTAGTCAGGGCACTAGAAAAAAAGTCAGAACAGGCAATTTTCAATTTTTTTATATTTTTAGTTTACTACTACTTCAGAAATAACTTAACATCTGAGAATAAGTTACTGAAAATGTGTATGTTCATGGGAATAGTCTCTACATTCTGAATAAAAGAAAATTGACTCTGGATTGTTTATTCTTTCTTTCTCATAATGTGTAAATATTATTGACAGTAATTATACTACGTAGCTTTCTGTGTGCATGCATGTGTTTGTGTGTGTGTCTATGTGTGTATGTGTGTGATAGATAAGACTCTTTTGTATTTACCTTTTCCACTTAAGAGAATTTCAAAAAACATTTTTATTATAAGATTCAGTACTTCCAAAGCATTTTAAGGGAATTGCCTATGACTTCATTTATTAAAGCCAATACTTTAAAACACTTTAGCATTACTTACATCTTAATCTATTGATTATATGGATTAATATCATAGTGCATGCACTTCAAAACCAGTTGTGTCTATATTGTAAGAGAAGATAAGGTAATTCACAGGCATGGCTATATTAATTATGTGCAGTGTTTGTTTCTATAGACTCGGTGGAAGAATGTGAAGTACAAACTAATTTGAAAATTTGGACAGAACCAATTAATATCGAATTTACAGAAGATAGTCTATCTTACATGGAAAAATTATGGCTCAAGAAGTACAGAAGGTATTTCTTAATGTTTAATATTATTTACTAGAAAATATGTAATTATGCTCCTTGTTTGTATAGCATGGCTCTTTATAACAATTTCATATGTATGCTTCATATTTGCACAGTTAATTTTAAAGCAATACTAAATTCCTATAAAGCCTTGACTATCATAATAATTATAATTCTACACACACATGTACAGATAGATAGATAGATGACAGATAGGTAGATGATACATAGCACATGCATGTGTGTGAGAAAAACATAGATATGCAGATAGAGATAGATACAGTACATCATTAATTTAGGTTTATCTTGAGAAATAAAAAAAGATGTGTACCTGGGGGGAAAGCCAAAAATGAAGTATGAAATTACAGAATAATAGAAAAAGTATGCAATAAATGGAAAATTACTCTTAAAAGACATTGCTGACTGAGAATAAATATTTTAAGTTAATTAGGTCTTAATTTTATCTTTTATTAGTCATAACCAAGGTGTTTTATTTGAATACCCTACCATTCAATACATGGTTTTGTAATTTGTTTAAAACTCAAATTTGCAACATGAAACCAATATTGTCATTGAGTACATGTTATTATCATTGGTAATTTTTTAAAAATTTAAAAATTTATTATTTTTTATTTTCTATGTGTGAGGGTTTTGCCCACATGAATGTGTGATAAGTGTGCAATGACTGTGAGGCCCCAAAGAGGGCATCTGATTCCCTGGAACTAGAGTTATTGACAGTTGTTAGTCAACAAATGGGTTTTGAGAACTGAACCAGAGTCCTCTGGAAGAGCAGTCAGTGCTCTTAATCACTGAGCCATCTCCCCAGCCCACATCATTGGTAATTTAAGCATAATGTAGGGTCATAAACTTTCTGATTTTGGAGGTTCATTTCAAGGTCACAAGCTCAGTTTGTCCCACTGCAGAGCTGCCCACATTTCATTGTCTTTGTCAGCTGCCTGGAGAAGAGAAACGTAACGTTCTTTAACAGGTTTGATGATTGGTGCAGTGTTTCTGAATTTCTTTCCAATGCTTCCCAAATGCCACGAGTGCCTATGATGTTCCACATTTGGAAGGGCAAAATGATAGAGATACTCCCTAAAATGCAGCTGGGTGGTGATCATAAAGCCTATGATTGATCATACAAAGATCTTTCTTGAGCTGGCCCATTTCCTCTTTCAGAAATTCTCTCGTATGATACTTATTGTGAGTGGTAATCCATCTCGAGATTTATATAAGCTTGGCCCAACTGCTACTCTGGCGTTTCACTGCAGATTTTATACATTCTTTTCTTCTTCTGCATTTAATAATTGAAATCCTCTAAGGAAGGGTGTTATTAAAAATGTAGCAATTTTATTTATACTTTGAGAATTTCATTCATATTCACAATACATTTTAATCATATTAACCTCTCAAAAAAATCTAAGTCTAATTAATGCTGCCCATATGTACATGGGTATGGGGCCAGCCACTGAAGCCTGAACAACCTACAGGGGCTCACCCCTAAAGAAAACCAAGTCTCATTTCCCTGGCAGCCATCAACTATCAGTAGCTACTCAACTAGATGTGGGGCCTCCTGTGTCCCTCCATCCCTGCTGTAATGTTGATTGGATGGATCTTGTGTAGATCTTCTGTGGTCAACCCCAGCTGCTGTGCGCTCCTAAGTACAATGATGCTGTCATGGTCAGAACACCTTCTTTTCCCAGTCTTCTCTAATCTCTGATTCTCACAGTCTTCTGACATCACCTCCGTGACAGTCCCTGATCCTTGCTGAGACAGAGTGTGATATAGAGGCCTCCTTTGTGGCCAAGCATTCCACAGGCTCATATTCTCTATGCTTTGACCCTTTGTGAATCTCTGTTTTGACTGATGTCCACTTTTGCAAAAAAGTTTCTCTGATGGAGACTTCCATGCACCCGTGTCATGGTGCAATGCCACAGAGGTCAGAAGAGGGCATTGGATTCTCTGGAACTCGAGTTTCAGATGGTTGTTAGCTGCCATGTGGGTGCTGGGAACCAAACCCAGGTCCTCTGCAAGAACAGTCAGTGCTCTTAACCATTGAGCCATCTCTCTAGTCCCCAGCCTGTTTTATTTTTTTTTTTAAGTGGGGAACTTAGGGGCTTGCATAATTTATAAGCGCTCTTCAGGTATTTATATTCTTGGCTCAAAATGACCTTTCTCCTCACAAATCTGTGAACATCATCCAGAATCAAACATACTCTTGAACTCAGAATTCCTGGTCTTTGCTCTTTTCATTTGAAATGAACTGTATCCTGTTAATTATGTCGTAGATGCCATAGCCATAACAGCTCATGGTCTCATAATGGGGTCCTAATTTATCACCCTACTGATGTGCTAAAAGTTTAGATAAATGACCTCAGGTTGTCTTAGAACTCATCAATGTAATGCCAAGTGTGTAAGAAAACCACGCACTTGTTAATTAGCTTGGAAACAGCATGGAATGTTCTCTGGGTTCCCTGTGACTTCTGAGAGAATACTGACTTGTATCATAACTTTGGCCTTCAGTTTAAACAAAACACAGTGTGATACGCAATTTTAAAATTCCTTGGTTGATGTCAAACTGACATGAACTTTTAGTACACTGAAATTTTATTAATCATAATTTTCTTCTGTGAACTAAAGATACAGTCCTGGTATTATCATCATGTGTGCTCACTCACTTGACAAATAAGTCACTGTCTTGTATCAGAAAGTTCAGTTAATGTATTTTCCTCCTTTAATTGTATCTTTGTTGTTTTGTAGAACTCCACAGGAACAACTTCGCAGCTTGCTACCAGATACACTCACACATTCCCATGCAACCACTAGCGAGACACAGCGCTCTCAGAATGAAAATGCCGATGATAGTGATGGTCAGTTAAGCTTTGTTGTAAAAGTTGTTATTTAAAATCATATGAGCAACTATAGTTAACATGTGTTTTTGGATGATTCTGAGTCAAAGCATGCAGCCCTCTATCTCCAGATTAAAATCCTGCACACTATCACCTTTATAAAACTGTATTACTTCTCATTATTCAAATAGATTCATTTAAAAATTAAATGCAAAAAATGTGTCTTTCATTTGATCTGGGGGCATTGATAGTGTTTCCATCTTGGCATAGATTTTTTAAACATATTTTTTTACTTTTATTTTATGTGTTGAGTGTATTGCCTGTATATGTGTACGTACACCTGTGTGATACAATACATAAATACATAAAGGTCAGAAGAGGATGTCGGATCCCTTGGAACTGGAGTTGAGTACGGTTGTCAGCCTCCATGTAGGTACTAGTAATCAAACCTGGGTCCTCTGCAAAAGCAGACAGTGCTCTTAACTGCTGAGCCATTTCTCCATATCCCCACCTTGGTATAGATTTTCAAAGACTATTCTTTGATTGTTGGCAGTATTGTTAAGGCCTGTTCTTTGGTAATATTAGTTTCTAATTTTATTTCCTAGTGGAGGAGACCAAAGTAAAATATCCACCTCTTTTTATGCCAACGGAAAAACTGACTATAGAAAGACCTCAGCCATCTCTAACGATAGTAGAATTGGATGGTGTAAGTATATAATAAACGTTCAAATTCCTTAACAAATAGAAAATCTGTAACATGGTGGTGTCTTAGTGTTGTTAATAAAATTTATTTCATAACTTATCAGAATACAAGAAATTTACACATTTGCATTTCAGCATGTTGATAAATATAAACTGTAAGTGTTACTGTAAGAGCAAATCAACAAGCTATATTGATCCTGTCACTTTTGGGAGGCATGAATTCAGGGAGGTGGGCAAGCGTTTCCACTGTTTTAACTTACACAATGTGGTTTGGTGTTTCGTTACTTTGCTTCTTCATCAGACTCTTTTTTTTCTAAAGGTCAGTTTCATTTACACAGTATATAGTTAAATAAAACTTAGGTGTAAAGGCAGTTTCCAGGATGTGTTATTTCCTATTGAAATGAATAAATAATACTTATGATTTTAGAGATTTTTCATAATAGTATTGTCAACTAACATCATTGAAAGATGCAAATAGAACCAGCTGGGGCCAAAGCCGTTAAGGAGAGCTTGGACTGAGTGTCTCACATGAAATCCAGTCACTGCATTTTGACTTCCTTGTCATCTAGTAACAGAACACACTACTTTTCCAAGACAGTTCTCTTCCAACGACTGTCTCAGAAAATGAAGAAAATGTGGACCCTGCACCTTGAAATACTGCTTAGGGCTGAAGATTGACACTTGCTTCTTTTCTTTTCTCTTTTTTTTCACTTTTTTTTTTATGTTTTTGAGACAGGGTCTCCCAGTAGCCCCAGCTGGCCTGTAACTCACTATGGAAAGCAGGCTAGCCTCAAACTGACAGAGATCTGCCTGCCGCTGCCTACACACACACACACACACACACACACACACACACACCACTTATGTGCTAGTCAATAAAATTCTGATATTCTAATACTCATATTAAGTTTGTGACAAGCCAGTAAGAAAACTGGAAACCTGATAGTCACTTATCTACTTGACTTGGAAGTGAGTTGTTACATAATACAATATAAATTGTTTTTGTTGATCCCAGGTGTGACAGTTGTAAAACAGTGACTAACACAGTAAATGCCCTTAAGGAAGAACAGCTGAAATTATTTTCCCTGGAACTTGTGTGTTATGGGATATAACTACAGCAAATAATATATATCTATATCTATATCTATCTATATCTATATATATATATCACCCACAATTTACTGTTTAGTACATTATGAATTTATTAAGCATGCTAACATTGTATAATATGTATTTAATAAGACTAATGAAGCAGAATTTGAAGAACCAGGGAGCATTGTGCCTTATAGAGTTGAGCTAGCTGATGCAGAGAGTCAATTAAGGTAAGATATTTCTCATTCACTTTGGATACTCAAGAAGCGGCAATCATAGAAGGCTGAGGATGTGGCAGCGAGGAGGAATGTTTGCTTAGTCTGCATGAGGGCGTAGGGTGGACCATCAGTACAAGCCAAAAAATAGTAGTAATCAAATAGTAACACGAATGTCTCTTCAGATGAGAATATCATGGTGTTAAAATATATACCATTGATGTTAACTTTACTTGTTATGTTGATAATATTGATATTTTTATCAATATTCAGCAGTTAGAAAATTGACCATAGTATTAAGTTTGCTTAAAATTGGATTGCTTTATAGATTATTCTAAATTTAGGAATTGTTATATGAAGTATAAGTCAACTAGGATATATTTCATAACAGATTTCTCCGTTTCTCCATAGCTACCATTTTGACATATTTTCCTTTGAACTCCAAAATAAAAAGAAACCAGATGTGGTGCACATGCCTTTAATTCTGGCACTCAGGAGGCAGAGGCAGAGGCTTAGGGATCTCTCTGAGATAGAGCCCAATCTGGTTTACATAGTGAGTTGCAGGCCAACTGGGGCTACAGGGAGACTTTGTCTAAACAAACAAACAAACAAACAATGCTATAGGAATGATCAGGTTGAAATATTAAAAGAGCTTCCACATACAGTGTTGATTTCTTGGAAAAATTTAGTATATGATTGGTTAATGAAATATAATAGTTCACTTTGTAACTGTTTTGAAGATGTTTGCTGTTCCCATATGAACAAAAACAATCTAGATTTATTTCTGTCATCAGTAAACCTAAAATTTATCCTATTTCTGTTGAAACTTTAGGATTTAAGATGTTATGAAGTTTGAATTTAACAGACCCTATGTCAGTAGTTGGTTTAGATCATCTTCAGCCCCTACCAGTGTATTGCAACAGATGTGAGTCCAAGTGATGCCTGATAACGCCAGGGAATTCCTTGTTCAAAGACAGAGACTTAGATATGGAACAGCAGATCTACAATTGTTAGCAAGGTTCTGACAGGAGACAACTTTTGTGTCAGTAGATATGAGGCTGCTGTCTGCTCCTATGTCTTCCTAGGAAATGAATGGCATTTATGATTGCTCTTTTAAAACATTCATTTATTCATCCATTTATTTAATTTGTGTGTGTGTGTGTGTGTGTGTGTGTGTGTGTGTGTTTCTCTCCATTTGTCTGTGGATGTGGGCAATGCTTGCCCTCATTTGCACATGGAAATCAGAGGATCTCTTAAAAAAGTGAATTTATTCTTTCTACCATGTGGGTTCTGGGGACTGAACTCAAGTCATCATGCTTTTTAGCAAGCCACCTTATGACAGAGCCATCTCATAGGCCTTTATAGTCGGTTTTTAATATGCAGCAACCTATGCTTTTTTCTTTCTACTTATGTGCAGTCTTAGAAGAGGTGAAGACAATTACTGATCATGGTTTGGCATTAGTTTACAGCTTTTGTCTAAAAGTACCCATAGAACTATACCAACTTTGTCTCTTTCCTCGAATCATGAATAATACAGGGTGACATTTTGGTTTAGTAAGATCCGTGAGTTTTATAATGGTAGGGAGAGCTTACATAAAAGCAGGCATTACTAAAAGTGTTCTTCATCTATAGCAAATGTAACTTAAATTACAACTTTGCACATAAAGAGCTGCCATTGTTAGAATTTGAAAGGTAGATGTCACACTGTTTTTTAACACAGCTAATTGTTAAAATAATAGGTTTGTGTAATACTAAAATATTAAATTCATCAAATATCAAAGTTCTTGTAAAATATAAGAAATAAAATATATCAATATATTATGAAACAGAAACTTTTTAATGAAATTTTGTTAGGTTTAATTCGATGACATGATATATTTCTTTTTCATAATACAATTTAGTATGTGACATATGTCTACAGTAAAGTTATAAACAGTTCTAAATTTATATAAGTAATTCAATTTAATTAAGACTACAATATTTGCTTTAAAAACACTATAACTTTTAGATACATTTTCTTTTAAACCTTTCTTTCTGCTTCTTCCTAAACATGGAAGTTCTACATTTCCTGATTATCAGAAGAATTGCTTTTCATGTGAAAATGACTTCTATCAGCATCTTGTTTTCAACAAGGGAAAAACAGACCTTTTGAGTCTTTGCCTGACAAATAGCTCTACATATTATAAGGATGATTTTAAAGGTAACATTTTACTTTTTGCTTAACATTATTTAAAGAATCTTGTTGGCAATTTAATAAAGCCAATAGATGCTGTAGTCTGTGAATGTTTTGCTAATTATTCTGTTCACTGTAAAAATAAAAATAATTTAGTACTTGAAAGAAATTTGGTTGGAAACACATAATGTTCTAGGAAATAGTCTTTTTAATCAAAAGACCACAGTGTTTATATTTATAAGCAAATTAAATCAATATAGGGATCTGTAAAAGTTATTTTGGAATAGATTAGCAGTTTACAGTTCACATAGAAGAACTTTCAGTGATGAAAGTCAGCTTAGTATCCTGTTTCCCTCACATGCAATCAAATGTTTCCCCCCAATAATCCCAGCTTCTGTGAGGTACCCAAGGGCATTATTCAAGTGGTTACGAAGCTGATGATCTCCTTCTGCCTGGGCAGCAGTGGCTGCCAGAGGTGGCTTTGTGCGGGTCCTGCCAGGTCTGGTTTAAGCTAGTGTGGCCCATATGAAAGGCAGGCATTTTAAGTTAGGACTTCATAGATACCTATTTAGCTCAGACCTATTTAGTGTTGTTTGACCACTCCAGTGTTTCCTTGCCCTCACCCATACATAGATAGCATCACCAACTCCTGACATTCCTTCCAATGGCTCATTTCATTTAAGTGCCAAATAATAATCCACTGCATCAAAGGACACCCTCTTGCTTCCAATTTTGAATGCAGTTTTTGTTTATACCCGTGTGTGGGTTTCGAATTTACATTTTTTTTTTTTAGTTTGGAAAATACTAAGGAGAATCATTGTTGGGGTCTATCAAGTATGTGTTTATTTCTGTTAGAAATTTCCAATCTACCAAAGTGCCTAAACTGTCATATTCTCACAGAAATTATTTCTCTATTTCCTTACCTTCTCAGCCCTTAAGCCCTTAAGGTTGTTAGGTTTAGACTTTTGCCCTTCTGTCTCTGTAATGATAACTCAGGTTTCCATGTGCCGTTTCCTAATGAAGTATGATCTTTGACATTTTAAATACATTTTCCATTTGTTTATATTTTTCATTGTTTTTTTTTGTATGCTTGCATACTGAGTATTTAAACCAGTCATTGAGTATGTTGGGTAAGTATTCTGAGCTATTTCCCCAGGTTTGATAGATTCTCTTCACACTATTTTTATTGAGAAAACTGCTAACAATTTTGTCCAATTTTATTGAGGTTGTTTGCTTTGTTACAGTTGAATTTCAAGAGTTTTTTGGTTTTTTTTGATAATACATCTTTGTATTATATATGTCCTTTTTCAAATATTTTCTATCAGTGTGTAGCTTTCCTTATTTTATTCAAGTTATTTTCTCCAGAGCATCATGCAAAGGCTTTTATTCACTTTTTCAATGATAATCTCAGTAGTAGTGTTTTACAGCATTGTAATATATTATAGTGGTTATAAACATTTCAATATATAATGCCATCTTCTATTCTAAAAAATCAGATAATTTTGTGCTTGGGCAATTCTAAGATAATTCTTAGAAAATTCTACATTCTTGTAGCAGTTTTATTATATGTATAGTGTTTTTAAAAGTTTATTTCCTGGAAATGTATCTCTGATTGATAAGTTATATTATTTGTCAAAATATTTTGTAATTTAAGAATTATAATAGTTTGAAGTAGAATTTCCATATATTATGTATAATTTCCAAAGTATATAAATAGTTGGTCATAACAAGTAACTCCTTAGGGTTGTAATATAGAATTTACTCTGCTGAGGATTATTTTGTTAAGTTTCTATTATTTTATGTAATCTATTTATAGATAGCGATACTTGTTTTGGAAAGAGAATAAAGAATGAAAATTTTAAGTTCTTTCAATTCAAATACTAGTTTGCATACTTATTAAAGTGAAAGCAAGATGGTGAGAAAATTTGTGAAGTATTTTGACTGCTCAGAACATCCTGACCAGTGTTTCGGCACCCCAGATGCATTTTACAGTCACAGGAGGGTTTGGTGAGAGGGAATGAAAAACAGCAGTAACTGAGTTTCACCTCAGTGTCTAATTGGCTGGGGTCAGGCCCACATACTGACAGTTGTAAAGATGAGCCTCAAATGATTTGGGTGAAAAGCAATGATCTAAACCAGGAGATGAAGTTAGGACAGAGGTAATGAGGTGGTAACTAATACGACCTTGCTCATTTTGTAGTTTGGTAGAGGCCGATGTTGCCTCAGGATTTTTTTCTCTGCCCCTTACTGTTGCTGTTCCATTATCTAGGAGACTCTTTTTGCCCTTTCATATCAAAAGCTGGAGAAAAGAGGTAAAAGCTGAAAAAATGTAAACAAATTTTGATAAAACATGCTTTATAGGTAAAGTGTTTTTTTTTTAATCTTCAACATTCAGTTTATGAACAGGTTAATCAATTTGTTTGAATGCATTCATTAACCTCTTGTAAATATGTGTTTTCAACAACAGGAAATTCAAATACAGATTCTGACGATATTGTGGATTCTGAAATTTCTCATGAGTTTGGAAAAATACAGGAAAGCAGTTCTTTTGAAAGAAATGTAAAAGAGAAAAACATAGATCCAGAAAATGGCCCCAAGTCTGATGATTCCTGCATGCCTCTTGGGAGTAAAGATTCCTCATTGTCTACAGATTTAGTTACATCTTCCATTCCGGAGGATTTATTTCAAAACACCCCACAATCTGTGGAATGCAACCATCTGTGTGAGAGTCCAAACTTTATAGATTCAAAAACTACAAAGTCACTGCTGGTAAATTATTACATTTATCACATTAACAATTTTATAAGGACATTCTTGAGAAAATGTCATTTTGACACAGTACATTCTAAAAGGTTACTTTCTTCTGCAGTTAAAATGTACTGCCCTCTAAAGTGTAGCTAAAGCATGACTGCTGTGGATGGAACACTAATGGCTTACAGGACAAACTCTAATAAGGTGGATGCCATTTTAACAAGCGGTTTTCTGTGATAGATGATACTAAAAACGACCACATACACCTAGCAAGAATGCTCGTGTTTTTTTCAAATGAAATTCATTCTTATGACAAGTATAATGTAATATATTCTATTTTTTTACTACAATATACTTTGTAGTCAAATGACAACCATGCAGTTGTATAGATAGGACCAGTGTCTGCGGTGTAGGTAAAAACGTAATTCTTTCAAGAATATGGCTAAGGGAGAAATAGTGGAGGAAACAAAGTTGCTTCCCCTTGCAGTGTTGACAAAGTTTAAACTACATTGGGATCTCCATTTTACATGGCATAAGTCTTCTATGGTTGGATTAATAACAATAAATTCACTGGAAATTAGTCAAACATTTTCATAATCTTTAAAAATTATTCAAAGTCAGTTTCTTCACCCTAAACCAAAAAGAGTATGAATACTTAAATTTCTACTACGTTTGCTTACAGTAAACTGGCTTTTTGCACTTTCCTTATCAGTGGTGTTGTGTCTTTGTGAGGGACAAAACTGAAATTGAGACTCCAGGAAAATTCGGTATCCTAAAGTCTGCTAAGGGAACGGAGGATGCTGTTTCAGCACTAGTAGAAATAGACACAGTTTGAATAAGATGAAGGAAAATAGGCTTGAACAGAAGTCCTAGGCCAGGTCAATAAAATATCTGACATGAGAAATGAGACCCTTCAGCTTAACGTTTTCACAGGTCTTTCCGTACCTATCCAAATATGCAGTTGGATATACATTTCTTGTTTGGTTGGGAATTGATTAATCCATGTATGAGCAGTACAGAACTGATCAGTATCTGGGACAGCCAAGAACAGTGTCCTGGAGAAGCTGACTAGGATTTCTGAATGCCTTGTGTTACTTGTTGGTGGCCTAATTTTATATATTTAAAAATATTATTTATAAATTTGCATAGAGTTATAGGAATCCACTGTGTACTGTTTAATCCCTTGAAACAGACTATATTTGGGAAGTAATTATACTAATCATAGAATTGTTGAGTACTGATAACTGCTCTCACTGTGATTTAAGGCCACCTAGAGCACTTAGTTTTCTCTCAGGTTCACGTGTTGTTTTTAAACAGCGTCTGACTACGTAAACCCAGCTGCTCTTGAACTCATGGAAGTTCTCCTGCTTCCTCCTTCTGGGTGTCAAGAGTACTAACATGAAACAACATGTCTAACTCACGATTTTGTTCTTGTCTTTTAATCACAGTAACACTCCATCTGAGAGCAAGAGGGTACACAGCAACGAACTAACAGGGCAATGGAATAAGCCTAGGCTTTGAATCCACAGATACAAAATCTGGGTTTGCTAGGTGATAACCACTTCAACTTCATACATTTCTTCTCTTCCACTTGCCTCGGGTTTTTGCAAGTTTGTAGCCTGTGTTTCTGACGACTTTGTTTTGTATTTATGTCCATTGTCTGATCAAATTATTTTTCAATAGTAATTTACTTTCATTTTTGAAATTATTTTTATAAACCGAAATACCGGTTGAAAGACATATGAAAGAATTTACACATTCCACGAAAATTATTTATACATTTTTTCTCTCTCTGTAAGAAGGGGAAGAAACTGAAGGAAGATGGAAAAGAAACTTTTGTTTTGGGACTTTTCAGTCTCCTTGGCTTGGTGACAGCTTTCAGTTTATAATTATGGTTTATATATTTTTCAGATCTAATTGCATCTAAGCATTGCTTTATTTTGTTTGCTTATTACAACTTAAATCTTAGGAGAGCAGAATTGTTGCCAAGGTCATAGTAAGTTTCTTTGTTTTAATGAGCTAGAAAATAAATTTGTTTCATTGACTATTCTGTTTTCTAGTTGTTACGAGAAATAGCCCTCAGGAAAAAACCTGTAAATGAACGGTACCAAGGACTTGAGAAGTTCTTTATTGTTGGTAAAAATGAAGGACTTAATGTTCTTCCTTCAGCAAATATAGGATGCAGCCGTTCCTGTTCCGAGATAACCTTTGCAGGTAAATTCAGTCTGGGAACCAGATGACCTTCCTTATGTATTATTAGTAGGCTAGTTTAGCTAGCCTACTAAACTCTTAACTGATAAAAAGAAAAAAAACTGCTAGCATCTTATAAAATACTGGGCAGTTCTGTTCAGTGACTAAAATCATCTTCTTTTGTTTAACTTAAATTATTAAATCTGTGTGGTGTGCTATATACATTTAAGGATATCAGAATGTGGGAAGAAAGACAACAATTTGCGGGGGGAAGATTATGTTTAGGATTTAGAAGCAGCATCCATATTCTGTTGTAAAATAATAACCTTTTGAATCACTATTCCAATTGTTATCATGAGCAGTCATCCTCAGGAGTCCAAGGCAGTAGGGCATGGTAGTACATATTTGCATTTCCCTGGGATCTCTTTCTGTGTCTCTTGTGAACTGATTTTTGTCAGGAGTTCTTTGGTGCATTATTAATATGAGTCCCTTAATTTTAATTTTTAAAATATTTTGTTTATTATTTTTATTTTATGTTTGTGTTTGGCCTGTATGTATATAAGTGCACTCCTGTCATGCAATGCCCACAAAGGTCAGAAGAGACAGTCACATCTCCTGGAACTGGAGGTACTGATGGTTGTTAGCCACTATGTAGGTGCTGAAAACAAAACCTGGATCCTCTACAAGAGCAGTCAGTGCTCTTAACTGCTGAGCCATTTCTCTAGACCCAATTCTCTTAAATATAAAGGACTGACAAACATTTTTTCCCATTCTGTGAATTGCTTTATATCATGGTGATGACTATTCTTTGACACATATTTTTTTCCTTTTCTTTTTTTCCTTTCTCTTTTAAAATATTTTTTCATTTACTTATTTTGTGTATGTGTATGTAGGGAGGTGGATATGCTACAGTGTTAAGTAGAGGTTAGAGGACTATTTGTTGGAATTAGTCTATCATCCTGTCTTGTGGATTCCAGGGATCAAACTTAGGTCTTCAGGCTTGGCAGCAAGTATTCTGACCTCTTGAGCCACCTTGCCAGCCTTCTGACTTTACTTTTTATCGTCTTATTATTTTTATTTTCCGTGTATAAGTGTATTGCCTGCATGTATAAGTCATGCAATGCCCTGAAGGTCAGAAGAACCAGAATTATGGACAGGTGTTAGCCACCATGTATGTGCTGGGAATCAAATCAGGTCTTCTGTGGGAGAGCAGCCAGTATTTTTAACCATAGAGCCATCTCTCCAACCCCCTTTGATTTGTCTTAAGATCCAATAGAGCTATTCTTTCTTTGGCTGCTTGTGATCTTTTTATGTGAAGTCATTTCCAAATCCATAGTCTCTGTCTGTTGCAAAGAAGTTTCTTTGATGAGTGGTGACTGGTATATATGGTACTTTTATCTTGGGGGTAATCAACAGCTACCTAATTGGACCTAAAGCTCACTCAGTGGGAGGGCACTCATGTGTGGTACTATGAACATAGCTAAATACACATGATTGGAGAGGTCATAGATCTTAGCGAAACCCTAAGACTGTCATATCCCAAGACAAATGTAATTTCTTACTATGTGCTAAATATGGATCCTTGTATTTAGTTGTATAATTTTTAGGTCTTACATTGACATCTGACTGATTTTTAGTTAATTTTGTACATGCTATTTGGTTTGCTTCATTTTTATTTTTAACTTAACAAATCCAAGAGTCACCTAGGAAGATAGAGTGTCAAGTGAGGGATTTCTAAGATCAGATTGACTTGCAGCCATGTCTGTGAAGAGTTTTCTAGATTGTATTAGTGTGGGAAGACCCAGCCTACTGTGGGCAATGGAGCCCCTGGGTGACCCTGAGCCCTATAAGAAAACTAGCCAGGAAAGCCAGGGAGCCAGTCCTTCAAGGTTCCTGCTTGTGTTCCTGCTTCAGTTGCTGATGTGTCTCCATGTTACCTGGAAGTGAAAGAAGAAATAATCTCCTTTCCTTCCCCAAGTTGCTCTTGGTCAGTGTTTTATCACAGAAAGAGAGAACAAACTAACAGAGAAACCAGTACTATGAGAATTGGAGTGTTGCCATGACAGATTCGCCATGTTGTTCTTTGGGAGGATTGAAGAAGTATTTGAATTAAAATGTTTTAATTAAAAATAATTTGTTATTTTTATTTTATGTGTATGAGTGTATTGCTTGCATGTCTGTAAGTAAACCCATGTCATGCAATGCCCATGGAGGTCAGAGGAGGGCATTAGATCCCCTGGAACTGGAGTTATGGATGGTTGTTAGCCACCATGTGTGTGCTGGGATTTAAACCCAGGTCCTCTGCAAAAGCAGTCAGTACACTTAACTGCTGAGCCATTTCTCCAGGCCCAAAATTTTAGTTTTTTAAAAAATATCTTATTGTGTTTTTGTGCACGTCATACAACAGTTCTTAATCAAATTTAGACCCCCCCCTCCTCCATCCATGCCTCCCTATACCCTCCTGCCACCGGACTCATGGATTTTGTCATAAATAATAAGCATCCAGTCAAGCATTTTACCCAGATGTCCTTAGGTGAGAGTTCATCTACTGGAGTCTAGCCAGCCTACCTAGAGAACTTAAAGAAGTTCTGTTCTCCCTCGTCTACTGGTAATTGGTTGCCAACATTTCCCAGGCTAGGCCTGGCCCACTTACCACTTCCCTCACTCCATGCTGGGCCCTTGTCTGATTTAGTTGGCATGGGTCATTTTAAAGAGTATCTGGAATTTTGAATAATTGGAGTCTTCTAAGACTAGGACTTTGAAAATTGTTCTCTGTTTTATATTACAACATTAACACGAGATCTTAGGGAAAAAATGGAAAAGAAAGGCTATGGTTTAATAATGCTGTATTTGTTTGTCAAGTTGACAAAGGGTAAATTGTCCTGGTTAGTTTTTATTGTCAACTTAACCCGTAGTCACCTGGGGAAAGGGAGTCTCAATTGAGCAATTTCCCAGATCAGATACCTTGTGGTCATGCCTATGGAGAATTATCTTGATTGCTGATCAATGTGAAGCGCCCAGCCTACTGTAGACAGTACTGTCCCTGGGCAGATGGTCCTGGGTTCTATAAGAACGTAAGCTCAGCAAGCCAGGGAGCAAGGCCACAAGCAACTTTCCTCCTTTGTTTCTGAATCTTCTCCCACTTGAGTTCCTGCCCTGACTTCCCTTGTGATGGATTGTTACCTGGAAGTATAAGATGATGTGAATCCTTTCCTCCCCTAAGACGCTCTTGCTGAGACTGTTTATCCCAGTACCAGAAAGCAAAGTAAGATAGTACTGGTAAGAGTTCATTCATTTATTCACATGTGGATTCCTAGTTGTGTTGAAAAGTTTGTGTTTTCCCCACTAGATGACTAAAAACCATTTGATTAAGTGGAGATTAAATATTCTTATCATACACACATAAAAGTCTGTGAACTGAACTGGTGATGGGTCTCAGTGGTAAAATACTAACTTATTATGCACAGGGCCCTGGGTGTAGATTTTCATAATTTCTGTTTTGCAGCATTCTTTGTCAATGTAAAGAAATGCTATTGATTTTGCCTGTTGAGTCTTGATCCTGTTAGTGGTCTGAGCTTCTTAGTTCTGAATATTTTTTCACACATTTTTTTAAGGATTTTCACTGTATAAGTCATAACATCTTCAAACAAAGATCATTTTACTTCTTCCTTGATAACTTAGATAACCTTTATTATCCCACCTCCCCTGTACCCCAATTTCTCTGTGTAGTACTCTTAGGAACTATTTTTGGCAGGGGTAAAACCAAGCATCCTTTTCTGGCTCTAGATATTTAAAAAAAGCGTCCAATCTTTCATTTTTGAGCATGATTTTGTGGTGGTTTTCATACATGGCTTTTAATGTGTGGAGGTTGCTTCTCTCTATTACTAGTTAGTTGAGAGTCTTTATCATGAATATTGCCTTTTATCATTGAGTTTTCAGAATTAATTGAGATGAACATATTTTCCCCCATTTAGTTAATTTTGTGATTATGCTGACCAATTTTTTGTATGTTAAACAATCATTTAATTCCAGAAATCAATACTAGTTGTTATTGATGTATCACATTTTAATATGCTGATAAATTTTGTTTAGTATTTTTCTTATCATTTCTCATCTGTGATGCTGATCTCATTTTCCTCGTTTGTAGTATCTCTGCTCAAATTTGTATTATGTTAATGGGCTTTGTGGGACTTTTCCTGGGGAGACATGACACACACAGCCATGTCTACTCATCCCAGGTAGGGAAACCACAACAGTCCAAAGCAGCAGTTATACCAAAGCCCAACTTGATGACCAATGAGTTTATTGGGTTACTTACCAAATGTAGGTAAAGGGTTCCATACAAGAGCAGGGATGACACAAAGATGGCAATGTCACCTTTCAGGTGGGCTTTCTACCTGAACATGAGCAATGAATGGGTCATGAAAGCTGAACCCTTGGCACTATCTGCATGACTTGCAGTCACCACAACAGGTTTCAGAATCTCCTCTTGGCATCCGAACTGGTCAGAGTCTCCTTGCCCAGTATGACTGACTGCTTCTATAAGCCTAGGGAGGGACCCTCATGGATCTTGCAAATTTCAGCTTCTTTAGACATGAAGATTATTTTTACTTTCTGATTTTATGAACTTCCCTAGTCCGTCCTAGAGGGAAAGGTTCAATTCGGGGGAAACTGCCATTTAACAGAAATCTAGGTAATATCATAGAATGAGTTAAGTGGTATTCCCCAAGTTTAGAAAAGATTGAGAAGTATTAGTGTTATTATTTTTAATTTTTATTAGTCTTTCTATATGTGTGCTTGTGTATAGTGTAGACAAGCATAGGTATCCATGTGCACATGTGTGCACGTGGAAGCCAGAGATTACATCAGGTGTCTTCTATCTCTCTTCATCATTTTTTTTGAAACAGGGTCTCTCACTAAACAGGAACTCATTGATTCACTGAGCCCCAAGGATCCTCCTCTTTTTATCTTCCAGTGCTGGGCTTAGAGGCATGTTCCACCACACCTGGCTTTTTACACAAAAGCCGGGCATCCAAACTCAGGTCCATATCCTTTAGTGGCAAGTACTTTATAGATTGAATCATCTGCCCATCCTGGTATTAGATTCTGTTAAATGATTTGTAAGACTCATCTGGTTTAGGACTTTTTCTTGTAGGGAGATTTTTTTTTCATTGCTTACTCAATATTTTTACATTATATAAATATTAGTATTCTCTGATTCTTGGTCCTGTAGTTTTGTTTGTAATGCTGGTCTTACACTATGTACTCTCCATGGGTCTACATGCACTTATTCAGGGCTTGGCATGTCACTCAGTAACACATGAAAAAAGTCTTGGTATGGATCCTGTCACCACACACACATAAACCTTTTTGTGCGTGAACAGACTACTATATCTAAGGATTTATTATTTATTATTTGTTTATTTATTTATGAGTGGTTTGCCTGCATGTATGCTAAATGCACCATGTTCATACAATGCAGTTGGAGGCCAGAAAAGGGCATCAGATTCCCTGGAACTGGAGCAAGGGAGGAACCAAATTGAGTCTTCCCCAGAGCAGCCTGTGCTCTTAATCAGTGAGCCATTGCTCTAGCCCCATCATATCCTTTTAAAATGTTTGTTTCTATTTCTACATATACTTCTACAATATGTCTGTGTGTTACTGTTGTAATTGATGGCATTTTTCTTTATACTTAAGATGTATGGGTTTAATTTTGTAATTATGAAACAATTTCATAATATATTTCATTGATATAAATGTTCCTTAATTCAGATAAATATTGTTTAACAAGATATTACATGTTGAAAACCAACATGAACTTACTTTATTTCTGTTAAGTGAATATACTGCCAGATTTTAATTTAAAATTTTTTCCTTGACAGTGTCATATATGTGTATATGGCATTCTGATGACTCTTATCCTCCACCCACTTTTGTTGTCCTTTTATCCCCATTAATTCCTCTTCTCCCTAAAGTCTCTTTCCCATTATCATGTCTTTTATTGTTTTGTAGCCCACTGAGTTTTACCAGGACCATCTGTGTTCATGGATTTGGAGCTCTCATTGGAGCCTAGTGGGCTCAGTAGTGGGCTCAGAGATGAAGACTCAACCTTCCCTTCCCCCAACACCCATCAATAACCAGTACTCTCTGAAGGAGACAGAGGGTCCATAAGCACCTCTTTCTTCCTTGACTGAGTGTTGACAAGCTCCATCTTGTGCAGGCCCAGTAGATGCAATACCTGCTGTAAGTTCATGACTGTGTCATGCCCAAGAAGACGGCACATCACAGTCCTTCCCCGTAACTTCTGTCTCTTACATTCTTTCTGTCCTCTTCTGGGATGAGCCCTGAGCATTAGAGGAGGTGGAATTTACCATATTTTATAGTTTATATTACATTATCCATCTTTTCATTTCAGATGACAGAGTATGGATCCCAGGCAGCAGCTTAACTGAGCATGCTGTAGATGCGGGTACCATGTGTGATCTACAGTGTGATGAGATGCCACCTCCAAGTGTGCAACACCAGAAGACAGGTATAGTTGGCTAGAGGGCAGCGATGCCATGCTGCTGACTCCCTTTGTTCAATAGTTTCTTTCTTACTGGGTTTTAGGCATCTGAGAATTATTTTTGTGGTTATGATCCATTTAAACTAACATCCTAGATTTTTCTTCCAAAAGCAAAAAAATCAAGTTACCTCTCATAAAATAATGTTCTTAGTTATTTTCCATAGCAACATGTTAGTGAATAATATTTGTAAAATGTAGTTTGAGATACGCATATTTTGAGTCACCCTCATAGAATATTATTCAGGTTCTTACACGTTTGGTAAGCCATGGGTTTACAGTAGTAGATTGCATATGTTCTTTGTCTTAATTCATACAATAATCAGATCTACTACTCAATTGTGAAATGAATGGATTGTGTTGAGATTGCCATTTAGAACCAGGATCAATATAGTTTGGTTCTAAATCTAATGTGAATTGTTGTACTGGGAGCTTGTCTTTTAAGGTTATGATTACATGTATCTATTTTGTGTATGTGTCTCTGTGTCTGTTTAACCAGTGCCTGTGTGGATGTGTGCATGTGGAGGTCAGATGGCAGAATTGGGTTTGAATCCTTGGGTTATCATCCACTTCATTTTTTGAGACAGTGTCTGGGGATAAAAGGAGTCAAGTCATAATGCCTGGTCCCAGGGATCTCAGTTCAGGAGGAATACTTGATAAAACAGGCTCCTTGTTTTGGTTTAAGTCCTCTTCAAGCCAGAGATTTAATTACACATGATTTGCCCATATATACAAGATTTATATATCTCATTTGTCCTAAACTTTATGATTAAGTCTCCTTAGCCAGCTTAGATATTTTCTACATGCATTTATGTTGAGAATCTGTCAGATAATAAAAAATTTTTTTAGTAGCAAAACCATCCATTTATGACAAACGTTTTTTGGCTCCATAATTAGATACCTCTTCTCACATCAATTTCTAAAGCGGCTTCAAACAGTGTGACTCCTTCCTTCTGAGGCAGCCAGAAGGAACTGTGTTTTAAGTTACTGTACATTGTTGAGAATAAATTTAAGTGCATGTTGTGAGAAATTTGTTACAAAGACAAATCTTCCTAAGTGAATAGCCAAAATTCTTTTAAGTATTCATTTGGGCAGATCCATCAGAGTCTATAATTTACTATAACAAACCTTTTCTGGAGCACCTGTCTTTGGCCAGCCACTGCCAGACACTAGAGGTACAAAAAGGACCCTTATCTCTGTGGCTGAGGAACTTACAGTTCATCTACAGGTTGCTAAAGTTCAGTGTCAGCATCAAGTCGGAAACCTCTTGTAATGCAGATTTATAGATCTTCCCTTTAGAGATGATTCATACAGTCTTGTATAAGACCTGGGAATCTGCATTTATTAATAATTCCTTGATGTGCTGATATTGATCCTCCAAAATTCATATTTAGAGAAAAACCATTAAATATATCCAAAGGTATAAATTATATTAATATATACTATGATATTTTATCACAGAACTATGTATACTCTACTTATGGAAGTTGATAAGTAATCAATGAGAATATATTCCATCAGTTATAACAGGGGTAAATATATCTGTAAAGGTTATTTTTTTCAGTAGAGATAATTGATAGATATGTGAGATGTTAGAGAGTATACTATATTTCAGCCGAGTCTTTAAAAAGTAATAAAATTTACCAGAGAGAGAAGTTGGGAAATGGCTTCTGGACAAAGACGGGGGCCTGAAATAAAATAAAATGTTTCCGGCTGTGCCACAAATTGCAGAAATATTATACTTTGAACTGATGTCAATAAGTGTAGGGCTATTAATTCCTATGTGGTTTTAGATTCACCAGAAGGACAAGTAGTGGGGAAAGGCTGGGGGTGCCGACAACGCAGCAGACAGTAGCAGGGATATTACAGTATAAGGGCTCTAGTGCAGGGAGGGAGGCTATGGGAGGGTGCTATCTGGGAAGTGGGTGTAAAAATAAATAAATATATAAAATTGTCAATGTAAGAAAACACAGAATAGTTACATGTTTAGAGGAAACTCTGTAGTTTCCTCCCCACCCAAACCTCTGCCAAAACTTCTGTGTCTGCGAACTGCAGCACTGTCTGAACACATTAAGCTTGCAACCTAGGGGTCAAGTTGACTTGCACTAGCCATGACCTGTGCATTTGTGAAAACTGCTGACTTTAGTTCCCCAATCAGCCCAAATCTAAGCAGTTAACCTTCACTTCTCCTGGAGATCCCTTGATAGTTATACAATCCTGGCTTTTTTTTCCAATTTCACTTTCATTCCTTGTGAAACTGTGTTGCTATCATTACTTCCCATCAACGTCTAATGTGCGTGACGAGTCAGTAAAGTGTTTAGAGTCTTAAAATTATGTATATATTTTGTAGTATGGGGGGGTGAAACATATCTACTGTAAATCTTAATTTGAAATAAGATCCTAACATTTTTCTGCTTAGAAACATACCACAGCTACCTGTAGAAGGTAGAAAGAAACTGTCTTCCTTCTGATGCAGGACGGTATGTGAAGTGATGACCCATCTGTCACAACTGAATCTTCCCCCACACTTTTCTCTCCATTCTTCAGTAGGCTGTGCTCTGATCTTTAGCTTAAGGATGTGCTTATTCCTCTGATACAGGATGCTATGTACTTCCAATTCCATCCTCACACCTTTTCTTAGGATTGGTTTCGATCTCAGTTCAAATGCTACCTTCTCAGCAAGGTCACTGAGATCACCCTATCTAATGCTCGTCCCTAAGTCCCTCCATCACTTTCATCTTCCTCACAGAAGCCATTACTGTCGAGCATCATCTTATTTTCTGATGTTTCCTATCTTGGTTAGAAAGAAAGCAAATAATTACTCGTCCTATTCTTTGGTGGATCTTCAGAGATGGGACTGGGACTGACACCTTGTACTTCTCAGCAAGTCTCACACACACTTGGTGTTGGGTAGGAAGACTGTGTTAGTTTGGAGTGCAACTTGACAATGGCGACAATGTCTTATTCATTTTCAAGTATCCTGATTATGACACAGTGTCTGGCAGCTCTAGCAGCTAATAAATGATCTTATCATTGAATTGAACTGAGCGTCATTTCACAGGTTCTCAGAGTCAGAGGGGATTTAAGACATTCTTGGGTCCAACTCTGTGATTCATAAGTGAGATGAGAGTTATCATGTCTCAGGTCACAAACTGATTTCTGATTCAGTGAGGTGAGATAATAAAGTTCTTAACAGCATAGCTAAAGATTTTTCTTCCAGTAAAGCTTCTGCTTAGTCAAATTTCCTTATGAATTTCTAGAATTCTTAGGAAATACATTTCTATCTTTTAATATGAATTCTCAGCAGCTTATACAGTAGCAAGAATGAAAAAGGCAATAATGTTGTTTTCCAAAACTTTACTCAGGATTAAAATATTTGATCTTTAATAAGAGTATTATTGATACTAAAATGTCACCCTCAGAGGCAGTGGAGATGGCTTAGTCAATAAAGATAAAAACCTTGCCAAGAAAACATGAGGATCTGAGTTTGACCTCAGCTCCCATGTAAAGGCCAGGGGTAGTGATGCTTATTGGTAGTGCTGGGGAGGAAGTGAGGGGAGGGATCATTGAGTTCCAAGTTAGGTGGGAGATCCTGCTCCTGCCTCAAAAATACACTGATAGACTAAGGCATCTTCTCACCAGGGAAGCTCCCTTATGCAAGAAATGGTGATTAACACAGAAACCCACTAGTGGCCAACTTATGGAGAATCAGAGACTGCAGAATGCCTATTCCTGAATTGGACACCTATATAAAACTTATGCCTCCCATGGTGGAAGAGGGGACAGAAAGTCTGTAAGAATCAGAGGTGGCAGATGACCACCAGAAGAAGTTTTCCAGACAGTAAGCACAAGTCTCACATAAAGTCAAGCCAGATAAAATCCCAGAATAGAAGTGGGGAAGAAACTACAGCCCAACCTCAGGCACTGTTGGTAACTGATTGTTGCTGGGAGGAGGAGAGTCATCCTCTTTTAAGGGTGTAAGTCTTAGTAGGTTAACCAGGCTCCAGTGGATGTATGCATAACAAAGGGCATTTGGACACAAATTTGACCTGTAGGCCTTATATATAATATATAAAATTATAATACACATATATATATGTATATAT